ATATATATATATATGCATATTCTGATTAAGTCATTAAGAATTTATTTATGATGATCTCTGAGCTTCATTTGAACAAGCAACTCTTTTTGTTGAGAAAATGTAAAATTATTTTGACACTTGAAGCCGCTCAATGTAAAAATCATGAAATTCCCCTATCTGAGAACTTCAAAACTTTTGCAGCAAAGATTCCAGTCGATAATGTTTCTTCTTCCCATAAAACACAATACTGATATTTTATATAATCTGGGATATCAAATCTTGACTTAGATCAGCCTACTAAACAATTTTTCTCAAAGTTAGCAATTACTTAGATCATATCAAGTTTAACTGCATGAATAATAATAAGTAATTCACACGTTTTTTGTCACGTAGAGCTTTGTTATTCGTTGCCATGTGGAGTCATTTTATTTTTCCGTATTTTCTGCCTTTTAAGACAGTATAAGTAACGTTGTAATAAGTAATTTGCAGTAGTCTTAAAGATATTTGCAATTAAACCCACATAAACTTCCTGTTATTTTTCCTGTAAAGCCAAAATATTTTCACTATTTACCGTAATCAACGAACGCTGAGACTTTCAGTAATAATTATTTCTGTAAAACTTGCATTTTTTTATTCGTTAGAGAACTGAATTTTTCAAGCTATAAAATGGCGTTAATTAATATTATTTTTGTAATTACAGCTTGAATGCATTATTTTTTATAATTGTAATAGCACAGAATTGTTGAAGCAAAACTTTAATGAACATCTGTTATAACAAAAAAGTAGTACATGAATAATTCGGGTAGCTTGTTGACTTTATATCTTAAAAATGATGATTCTAAACATGTGATAATAAGATCACTGATTCTTTCAATATTTATAATGATAACTAACATAAAGCACTCATGATTTATGAGAGATTCAAGTCTGAACACAGATTACTTCGAAACGGATTTTCACATAGTCTTCAACTGTAACTGGTGATGTACTCACAACTGAAGTTGTGTTTTGAATAAATTATAAGAATTATTTCTGAAAATGTTTAAACAAATTGATAAAGTTTATTTTATAGATAATAATTGAGAAAAGTCTACATTAGGCTGATTTTAGTTCACTGATTGTTATCTGTCTTGAAATGATACTTAATAGCAAAATTTTTATAATCTCGAAAAAATCGTTAGTAGGTTTTATCTACCAAAAACTCACGTGACCCTTCAACGACTAATCCTTAGTCCCTGGCTTGCGCAGTGTAATACATCCAGTAAATCATATTCAACACTATAAACGAAATTGGAAACGCTTTTTGGCACAAGCTGAAAGTGTGAAATCGTTTTATGAAAATTATTCAGTTTTCTTGGGGAAGTTATATTAAATAATGATTAAACTGTAATTTAAATAGTCTGATTCAGCGCATAATTTGACATGTAATCAGAATGACTCAAAAACGGCAATAGATTGAATGATATGAAAATTTGACCAAAGTGAACTCAGTAAAGTTTGACTTGAAATGATAGTCTTACTTATCCATGTCTTCACCAGTCCAGTGGCGAAAAATTCCCCGGTCTTTGCCGTTTTTCACGTAACATCTTTTGCCCTGACCTTTGTGTAACTTAAATTTTCTCCTCATTTTATATGGCAAAGAATTACTGTTACTATCAGCAAGACCATCTGAATTATAATTACGATCGATGTTAGGTTTTAAAGTTCATTAAGAAAAAGAGTTAAAAGTCAACTATCGTTCATATTTAAGTACAGCAACACTTCTCGTAATTATGTGCTTAAACACAGACTTAGATTTGATTCATAATCAAGTCATCAATTTATCTCGAGTCAGCGAAACATAGGTACTGAGAGCAAATGAACTTTTCTTAGTAGCAGTACTTCGCAAATTCAAGCTCGCAGTCTCAAGAAGCTCAAAAAGGTACTACATTCTATCGTTTCAGGGTCGCGAATCGAGCAAGATGGTTTTGATCCGTCATAATCAATGAATTTTGTCGTATCGCAAATCAATAAATCGTTCATGCCAGTATAATATTTTTTAGTAAATTTTCCATCCCCGATTATTCGCTCAGTTAATTGCAACTAAAATTATTCAGTAAACAATGCAGCAATTTTTATTTTAAGAAAACGAAAAATATATAAATAAAAGGTTGACAACAAACAATTTTTGAAAATTGCTTCACTAAATCAAGAATTAATAGATGAATTAACAACAGAATTGATGGAATAATATAAATCAACAAAGTGGTATAAATCAACAAACTTTTTTCCGTCGATTCTTGCGGAAAAAATTTCTAGAAGATTGACTTTCACATCTTAACCAACTGCCGTTGTCAGAAAGATCACCATTAGAGCATTCCAGCTTTTGCATATGAGACGGTTTTTCTAGCATTCCAACAATGGCAAGTTCAACAATAGACAAAAATATGTACCCAACACAAGCAAACATAAATAAATCTAAACCTTTCACGTAGGAAACCTAAAAATCAAAGATATTGATAATTAATAGGTCTGAAAGGATTGTTTTGGCTTATCAGCTTTAGATTTAGTTAATTTGAAATAAAACTCATAAATTGAACTCGTGAAATAATTTGAAAAATCCTTTATACCTTTCAGAATTAATTTTCTATCTTAGTTTCAAAATTTAATTACTCAAAAGTTTAAACAGCAAAATTCAAACTTCTGTTCAAATAAATCAGTGAATTATAAATTGAAACGAAAATCAGTATCAAACTTTTGGCTGTTAGTTTTTTTTAGAAAATTAAATTAAAAAAGCCAGTTTATAAAAAATTGTTTAATATAATCAATAATAACCTTTGGTAATGATCTTGCGATATTTGAATATTGCAAAGTTAGTGCCATTAACGATGAGACGCCAACTGTGACCCGAGCTGGAAGGGATCGTCGATCTAACCAAAATGATATCCATGAAATAAGGACCATACAATATGTTGGTAAGTAAATTTGCAACAAATAAAAGCCATATGAGCGACGAAAATAAAATTTTATATTTAACTGAAAAAAATTCATTCAAAACATTTACTCAGATATCGTCTCAAAAATGTTTCACATGCTAAAGAATCAATGAATGTCGCTTAAGATCAGCAAATACAGGTAGTTTTAATTTGAGACTGATCAATACTTTGGTAGATTGTAATTTTCTTAGGTGCTGTGTAATTCAATCAGAAACATAGATTATGCATAATTAATTATTATCATACTGATCTTTGCAAATGATCTACTTATAATATGCTTTGTTAAACAAGCAAACTGATTCTTTGTAATCAAATACAGTTTAGTAATTTGATCAACTTTTAGCAACGAATTATTCATGGAAAGGTCTTAAATTGTTTAAGTCTTGTAAAAAAAGCTACATATTAAATAATCGGTTCTAAGAATTACTAACGCCACACTATTTAAAAACCATCGAAATAAAGTGTTTAAAAATCACAAAAGAGAATTAGTTAAAAAAGCAATCTATTCTTAACAATAATACTTCAATATTACTCTTTGAAAAATTGCTTATTTTGCTTTTCAAACTAAAAATCAAATAGCATTTATTAAAAAAAATATTGTAAAAAAAATATTGTAAAAAAAATGCGAACATATTTTGCAAATTTTTCATTCGAAAATTATTAATTTTCTCACATGGTCCCAAACACCAGCTGGATATTCAAAGGTTGCTTTTTCAAAAATTAAATCTCTTCATGAAAAATTTGCAAAATATGTTCGCATGCTACAGAATCTAATCTAAATTCTATCGCTGAATCTGCAATCTGCCATGTAATTTTCAGCAAATTTTGCAGACCAGCTCTCGAAAATTATTAATTTTCTCACATGGTCCCAAACACCAGCTGGATATTCAAAGGTTGCTTTTTCATGCACGTAATGAGTCATATGAAAATCAGGCAGGTTTGTTTCTCCGATAATTTCAATGGGAATTCCTTGACGTTTCCAGTACAAACGGACTTTGCCGATATTAAACGAATAGCTCTCGAAAATAACTTTGCATTCTACTCGATCCATCGGGAAGATTGTAAAATCCATATCACAAGGAGTCTCAACCATTATTCTAAAAGATTTTGCTTCACTTTTGAATCTCAAATTGTACCAATTTGTTTGCAATCCTTTAAATTGAACTACGAACATTTATCAAAAAAATCTTACAAATCTTGCATTCACTATGACTGGCAGAATATATGAAACATAGCAAAACTGCACATTCCTAAAATATTTCACGTGACAGTGACGCTTTCTGTGAGCGACTTTTTGTACCATTTTCTTTGAGTTAAACTTGAAAAATTGCGTAACAAATCATCTGAACATTAAATTAGCAGCATTACTGCTCAGAATGATATTTAATAAAAGAACTGTAGAAGTGAACTGCGTGACCTGTAATTCAACCAAACTGTGCCATTAGGAAGAATAACGAGGAAAACGTTTGGCGTCGGTGACTGATGTATCTCAGACCCTTTACTATTTACAATGCACACATTAGGTAGCCAAAGTTTTTCTACCATTCGATAAGACAATGATAGATTTTGTACGCAGTTGGCTCCTTCGATATCCTCAACAGAAAATCTCAAAAATTCAAATATTTTCATTTACTCACATTTTAAGTCTTGCGTAACAAATGTCAATCAAATAAAGTAGCATCACTCAATGTGGGAACCTCACGTGTGACCTTCTTATAAGACTACTTTTTCTCCGTCTTTACACTTCTTTTTTTAATGTCAAAACTCTTCATGAGAAAATACGAAATTCTGCGACTCATAATTACGAATTTCTGTGACATATAATTAATTACTTTATGTATTGCTGAGTTTCATAATTTTAATCCGTCGAAAAGTTCTACTTTTCCGGTTTGTTAAAAATTTATATCTATACTAATATCATAATTATGCACTTTCAACCTAAGATAGAGCAACTAAATCGAAATAGCTATATTTAGGTTGGTTCCCATGGTAGCACCTCGAATGATAAGCTAGGGTCCCGCCAAATTTGTGCTAATAGAATGTCCATTTTCGAACTGCTGTGGATTTCCGAAATTTCTGATATCTGAAATTAGATAAAAACCAATTCAATTTTGACTTCCAGTCTAGCAAAAATAACTTTGTTTCGAAGAAAAAATGAGAGAAAGGAAAATTTAGTGTAGACAAACATGCTGCACTATCTGATTGAAAATAATTATCATTTAAAAAATAATAATTAGAGTGATAAAAAAGAAATTAAGCAAGAAATCAAAATTTATCGGTAGTTATTAAAGTTCAGAGTTCACGGATATGATCAAAGCCAACTTTCTGAATAAGTACTTCCACATCCACATCAACACCTCCCATCATTGGTACTAAATTTCGGTCATAACTTCGCAGCATTTCTGTCAGTATTCTAAAATTCAGTTCAAAACTGCCTTTTTATTTTAGCTGTCAAATTTTGAAACTGTGAATATCTGAAAATATTATTTCGCTCACTTACAACATAAGTTACTGTCTTCAATGAAAAGGATGAAAACAGAATGCATAACAACTTTAGATGACAATTTCAAGACTAAATTCATCATTTCAAAAATTTGACAGTTCAAAGAAAAATAATTAGAAATTTTCAAAAACGCTTTATCCGGATTAACAGGCATTGCGGTGTGATAAAACTTCCTTATCACTTAAAATAAATGTTTTTTAATCCGATTGGGGATTTATTTACGACAATTTCATATTTAATCAAATGAAACTAGTTGAATAAATTACAAGTTAATAAGAAAAATAATTATTGTATCATAGCAATTTGTGAAAATGTTTTGGACAAAAAAGTATACAAAATAGTCAGTAATTTGACGAAATAAAAAATGTTTGTAATAAAATAAACTTTCAAGACTACGAAAATTTTCTTACTTGGAATAATTTTCCTTAAAATGAATATTTTTTGAGTGATTACTTAGTATTCAAAATGAATATTCAAAAAGTTATTAACCTTGTAGCAACTTTTTCAGCTTGACCTGATATACATTTGCTTGACACATTGTTTTCGCTTGAATCTATGTAGAAATAGAAATCTCTGTATATAGCAAATAACTAAAACTAAGCATAATATTTTAGAAGGATAGTAACGGAAAACTTCTAATATGATTGTTCTGTCTCCATAGTTTACAAAATTCTCACCAAAATTAGGCTGACAATTTCCATTACTGTCAGCTACGAAACCTTTACGACACTTGCATATAACAGTCTGCGTGGTACTATTTCTGTGACAGTAAGATGAACGTAAATCACATTTTTCGCAACCTAAAATAAAATAATTACTGTCTTATATGGCAGATAATTCAAGCATGAAAATCAGTGTGGTTGTAGATCAGTGTTCTAAGGAGCAAATGATAAGAGTTGAGTATTTCAGAAACCGGAAATAGAAATTACCAAAGTACGTGATCTCATCTTTCAGAAATTGTTTCGATTTTGTGATTCACTCCCATGATTTAATGAATAATTAATAATTCATTTCAGATTTACTTAATGTAACACAACAAAAAAAGCAAAAATTTTTTCGAGTTAATTCAAAATTTGTAGTGTGAATGGAAGAGAAGGTAACAGCATACGGACCCGTAAATTCACTGTATTTAGCAGCTTTGATGAATGAAACAGCAAATGGTGCAATGATTCTAAGCAGAAAAATTGTAGTAAATAGGCAGTTCATTAACGGTTAGATCAAATATGCTGGGTAGATTTTTATTTGCAAGTAATATTGCAAATAGTATTAAGCTGCAATGTCCAGAATCAGAACCAGTTTCTTCTGCATACAGACACTGCTTGAAGCAACCAACATTGATGCAGATTTCTTGATCACAAATGTTTCAAATACTACTGAATCATATTGAAATTATATTAAAATCATAAAATATAATTTGCAAAGTTAACCAGAAATGAAACTAAAGTACATCTAAGAATGAAGTGTTGATTTGCTTTTTATTAGTCTAAATCATCTCAGGTTAGTTTTTAAAAAAATTTGTGATATTACTCTCATGTTAATGATAATCTTTAGATAATAATATTGTTACTTCCGAAGATTAATTTGTAATGCTGTAACAACTGCAGTATTGTTCAAATATTCAAAAAATAATCTAGTCATTGCTAAAACAAACTATTTAATTAATATATTGTACAATACGTTTGATCACGTCAATACAGTATTCCAAAATCGAACAATTTATACCTAATGAATCAGTCATTATACCCATAACTGATTTAACTGCATATACATTACTTCTCAACACTTGCGTCAGAAAAAATTGACGGAAGATGAAGAAGAAAATATAATTAAAAAATTGAGTCCGAGTGTGATTTACACGCACAACGATAAATTACTCGAAGGGTAATAAGAGGGAAAGGCTGAAAGCAAGTGAACAAATTTAAATGGGACCTGAAATGAAATTCGTGACAGCGATGTTTTGCTTATCAATTTTCAGTGACAATAATTATATCTAAGCAAAAATAGGGATATAAAGTTCACAAAGATTTGCATATTTTGCTAAGAAATATTAAAGCCAATAAGACTATATTATCTGATTTATTTTCACATTTAATTTAAAACTGTTCAAACTGAGATCTAATTTAAAATTGTTCATACTAAGAACTAGGACTTGCCAAAGTATTAAAAACAAAAAGCCATTCGAAAACATAATCAAGTTTTTACTCAGTCAGAAATAAAAATAACATTACGAATAAAAGTTTATTTTTATTCCACTTTTTAAATCTGTCATAAAGCATAAAGTCAGATTTAACAAATTTGCAAAACATTGAGCTTTTTAGTGATAATGACCAGTACTATCATTACAGTACTATCAGTAGTAATAATCGTGATAATAATAAATACAAATACAATTTTATAAAGATAAAAAATAAGTAAATTTTTATTTTTGATGATTATTAATTGCTGGTGAATGATAATCAAAGAAACAACTCCTTGATAGTTCATCAAATAACTATTAATATTACTATGTTCTTACCTATTAATATTATTATATTACTTATATCATATTTGGTAATTATTAATATTATATCTAATAATTATCAATATTAATATTGAAGTTAGTATCAATGTAATTGTTGAAATTAACTTAGCACTTTTATCTTTTCATTCGTATTTATTATTTGATAAACAAAGCAATGCTTGATAAAATTAAACTTTATAAATTAAACTAATAAATTGTTTTTATAACCTATCTGATAACTATTTGTTTTAAATTACTGCAAATATCTTTAAGAAAGGAGATAAATAGAATTGAAATCCCTCGTTTGTTTTAAGTTTATTTATATTTAAAGTGAGACTGAAGAATAGAAAAATATGCAGTTTATTAATTAAAAATTACTGCAATCAAAGCTTAACTACACTGCAGATACCTATGATTAAAGCTAAACCATGTCGAATGGATCTGATTGTGATTTATGCTAAACTACTGATATCGAAATGAATCTAAGACCTGACTCTTATCACCAGCTGCAAAAGTAATAAATCATTTTTCCAATTATTATGTTTGCTAATTAGTAGAAATTCCCAGGTGCTCACGAGTAATATCCAAGATCTTTGCTTGCTGACTTGCAAATTTATCAACAAAATCTATGAATCAATAAAATTATATCAGTTAAAGTATTTTGATAACACTGAATAGTTTGAAAGTTAATGCAATATGAATTCTTGGTTTAAAAATTTCAAAAAAGTCTTAATTCTAATAAGGTTTGTAGATACGTATGCTGACAATAAATACTATTCTCTAATTCCAAATACGCGTGAAAATCTGATTTCTTAAACCCTGCTACTATCAATTATTTTGATCACTTAGACTATAGGCAATGGCATTTAAGTCTAAGTTTAAAGTAGGATAGGCAATTCATAAATATTGCATCAATTCATTCCATCTCATGTAAAATGAAATATCTTAAAGTATCGAACTTTTCTGTAGCAAACGTCACTTCCCAGAAGTTGCATGCATTGACCTTCTTGCATTGTAACCAACAAATTAATACACATAAAAATTTGCGCATACAGTGGAATATCTCATATTCTTAAACTATAATTCTGTCTGACTAAGGACAGATATGACAAGTAGGAAAATATTTTGCAGATTCCAAGCCTTCAGATGAGAAAAGCATTTAACCGCAAAAGATCTATAACTCATATGTAAAGAAGTGAAAATCTGATCTGAAGAGCTAAAAACGAGAAATGTTTTTTGCAGCGATGATGTAAGGAAATTGTACAAATTATCAGCATATAAAATTACTACCGCTGTGATTACTGGGATTAAGTGTAAGATTCACAACCAGTAAACACCAATCTTACATTAAATATACCAAAATCAGTATTATATTACAAATATTATTTTCCAAACAAATTGATTAAATTGTGGATTAAATTTGTGAATTGATCAAGTTTATATATAACACTTTATAAATCAGAAAGCAGTACGTTTTTGAGGGTTACCTCAGCTTCGATGCATTATTAAATGGAAAGTGATTATTAGAAAATAAAGATAATATCGGCTCCGAAGAATTTTTCAAATAAATAATTAAATTTTATTCCTTTTTTGATCAAATCAGATTTTCACTAAGCATTCAAACACTAAAAGTAATTCTACAAATGCTTCCAAAAACAGATTGCTTGTAACATTCACGCTGTAGAATTCATGAAGGGAAAAGTGCTGGTGGAAAAGTCTGATTAAAATTTAATCTATTACTACAGCAACTATAAATGAGCAATTTTATAAAAATACGAATAATCCGTGATTGGCACAAAAATTTTGAAGAGAGAGAAGAGCAGCAACAATCTGATTTTTGACAGACAGAAAGTTTTGACTTTACAAGTGTTCTTCACTTTTCGTTCGAAGTTTGAAGCATTTGAAGGAATGTAAGTTTTTATAAATCTAGTGAGTGAAATCGCTAAGGAATCTAACTAGTCATGGTAATAAATTATAACCTCTACGCTTCCCGTTTCGACTATATTAAAAGAGCTTGAAGCCTTCTGCACTACTAAAAAATTTTTGATTCTTTACAAGTTTCATATGAATTTATTTGAGGAAAATAACAATAATAGTGATAACCGTAATGATGGTAAAACAGTAATTTTTATTATTTTAATTTTGTTTAATAATCAAACAGTATATATGCACGCATAAATGAATTCTCGAGGAATCTATTACAAAACATTTCACGAATTTTTGCTTTTATATTTGAATACCTCAGAAATTAATTGTAATATTAGTCAACACGAACACCACCTATCAACCTGCACGAAGCAAGTCAATGCACTCAAAAGTTAATGATCATTGATAAAAATCAAGAAAGTAAATTTGATCTCAACTGACAATTAGTTGTTATATTGGTTCAGCAAGTACCATTCGCAGTACAGTATATATATCAATAATATTCCATTTCTAATGTAATTTTAAAGCAAAGAACCAATGAATTACAGAAAATGTGATGGCTTACTAAGAAATAGTTATGAATTCAAGAATTGTGCTTTTGTATTTTTGCCACAAAAATTTGCTATTCATTGTGTACAAAAATTAACTTCAAAGTATTTTATGCAACGTCAGAAATTCAAAAGTGAAATAGTATAAAATAAGAAATTGAGATAAAATATATAGCTAACTGCAAGATAAGATCAAATCCAAACAGCAAAGAAGGAATTCATAACATAAAAATCATCTAAAGCAACAATGCATTCGAACAACTGTCATGAGATAATAGTATTCAATGATATGATATGATTGGAAGAAGACTGATCAGGGATAAATGTCAAAATATACTTTAAAGAACTAGTCTTTGCTAGAAAACATTTGTTGTCATTGTCTTAATATTTATTTCCGCTACTTTATCATTAACGACTATGTTTATATTTCCGTACTACAACTTTACATTACTTTAGATTAGATTTTATCAGTTATATTAAATACTTCACAATACATACTAATTATTATTATTTTTTGTAGTTTGTTCCAATCAGGAATTGGCTTGCTTCTATATGTAGTTTATCATTTCAATCACTCCAATTACTTCCTAGGAATACCACTGATTTTCAAGATTGTTATCACTCTGAATTCATTCAGGACTTGGGCACTTTCTCCTTGGGCTAAATAATTATTAATGATTTAAACAACAACTTGTCAACACAAAGCTGCGTTAACATTTCTTGATATAGTAAACAATTATTATAGGTATAATCTCTTTTATACTCGTATATGTATATAAATTCAATAATGTTATATTTTGATACTAAAAATTGAATTGTTAGATAGGTAAACATAGTCAAAAGTCACGAGTAAGCAATGGAAATTCAACTGTAAATGAAGCAGACCACAACAAATGAATTGCCAATTTATCGCTTGATTGACAATTTTGCTCAGAAGTGATAAATATATTTAAAATTATTGACAAAACAATTATTCATGAAAAGAGATCTTCTCTTAGAAATGTCTTTTAAGATACATATCAGAAGTAATGGATATTTATATGACACTAGTAATAAAATTAAAGTATATATCATTATAAATGTATTCTTATATGAAAACTTTCAAAATTCTGTAACTAGAAAAGATTTCGACTTGTGAAAATATAAACAAATAAGGTTTAATAAAAGATATTCACACATGAGGTACAATAACGAAGGTAACACTGCACGTTATTGCCATGGACAAACAGCATTTACATGAAATATTATAGGAAAATATGATGCTATAAATACAAATACACCCATGTAAAATAATGTATATTATAATAATTCCAAAAATTTCTTGTGATCTTCCTGAAATTTTGAAAAACTGCTAAATCTTGGATTGTACAAAACTAGACTACTAGAAACATACATTAGCCAAAACTGGAGATTATGATATTGAATCCAGACCAGAACTGTCCCCACTACTCAGTTTGTTCGCTAAGCATTCATAAAGAATTTTAAAACAATAACCACTGCATATTTTATTAATTCTAGTATAATACTGGACAGACCTGAACAAATACAACAAAACTTATTTCTAAAGAATAAATGATATTATATTGCAATATTCATCACAATTTCACATTCAGAGGTCAGTTTCATTTGAATATTTCAAAACAGTTTGAAATCTTTGTCATAAAAGCATTATTTTCAAAGCACTGATAAAACTTTCTTCACATCCATCTACTTTGACAGATGTGACAGCTCAAATATTGCCGCTCGCTATAAAAATTTCCTCCCAGATATATTACTCGTGGTTAAAGATTTCAAACTACTTGAAAAGTATTGTCTCGCAACACAAATTAGTGTTAAAAATTCACTGTAAGATTTTAATTCTTTTAAATTACTAACGGCATCAACAATTCGTGAACATTCACTATTGAAAACTCACATATTAGTAAGTATTTGCCATTTTAATTATTAAAAAAAAGGACTGCTTGCTTCAAAAAATAAACAAAAAGTATTGAAAAACAAAACAGATACATTTGCTGCCAAACAACATGACTACGACTAATCCTTATCGTTATAAATGCTAATAAAAATCATTTTACGTGATGTCCTTTAACAATGATGACAGATCGATAAGATAAACAACAACTTTAAAGTAAACCGTACAAACACATAATAAAATTTCATGTTCATCTCCGCTAGGCAACGCAGCAATACGATCTGCATCTGGCAGTACAATAGCCTTTGCAATAGGCTGCGTTGGAGGAATCTAAGAAAAATGCTTTAAAAAAACCATTTATGAAACTGATAAGTGAAAAAAAAAATTCTTGTCTACAAGAAAAATGCTCTGCCAGTGATTTACGCATTGTAAGACTGTTTGAAGAACTTCTCTCATGAAATTCAGAAATTTAAATACTAATCCGAAAATATCAAATTATAGGAAAGTTATGTTGTTTAAAAGTGACTGAATGAAATATAAACACAACGACCTAGTTATACAAATAAAAAAAACGCTAGAAATTAATGCACCTCATTCTCCTTCCATCCATATATGAGTAGGTTACCGTAAATGTCTAATATCATCGCAATGAACATTTCATTTGGCAAATTTACGGTTGCAGCGCATATGAAATCTCCTCCAGGATTTACAAGTGTTACTGAGGAATCATCTTCTACAACACCGACTTCATAAGATTAATTTGAACTTGCTAACATGTTGACAAAATTATACGAAAATATTACTTTGCTTATGAGACCCATAAGGATGAAACTATGAAAAAAGCAGTACCAAGTCTTAGATCTTTGATAGTGTAACCAGCAAAAAAAACTATAAAATGATTGATAAAAAACAATCACAAAAAATTGTACTAATAAACCTGCACTAATTAAACGAAGTCGAGAAGCAAGTGACCCAATCAAATCTAAGAATACCGGTCGATCTGGAACAATAAGTTCTTGAATTGACGATTCAGAAACCGTCATCTGAGGCAAAATGTTACAACTGTTCGAACCAAAAAAAATTTTCACCACATAGTTTTTTCTTCGCTCTGTGAGAAATGCACAAAATTGACCAGAATTAGTAATGCCAATAGCGAGTCCACATATATGTGATGGTACTTCATATTTGCTCAGAGGAGCAAGATGATTAGCAACATAACGATAAGTTCGAACTAAACCAAAAACAACAAACATAGAATTGTTTGGTCACAAAAAATGAAGGGATATTTTAATATAATTTATTTTCAATCTTGTGAAAATGAAATTTTAAACGAAATAGCGCACATATAAACAATAACTAACCACAGCGATCAGTCATTGAAACTAATAATTCGTATAATCCATCCCCATCAAGATCACCAATATATGAAGCACAAATATTAGCTTGAATGAGTTGCTCAAATAACGGTAGCGGTTTCTGTAGCTCGTCACTTTCAGGATCAATATGAGGAAAATCAAAAGAACGTATCTGACCAGTTGCAGAGATTGCAACTATTTCATCACTGAAAATATTAGATGAAAATCATGAAAAATAGCAAACAATTTTTCACATTTCAAATGCATAAAAGAGGAAAGATCTAAGTAATGAAATTTTAGATTTCGAAGTAAAGCTTACAGTTTAAACAGTAATAACTTAAATGAGAGGGTTATATATGTTGTAATAATAAATTGGAAAAAACAAATTGCTCAAGACTGATGATCTCACCTGTTTTGTCTGAGTTTCCCACAACAAACTGATGTCACTGGATTATTGAAAATATTTTCTAATTTTGTATACTGTTGGTTTATGGTAAATACTAATAACTGAAATAATACTAAACAATCAGAATATGCAATAATCAGACTAATGCAGTGTATCAAAAATATACAAATGGTCCGTGAAAATTAAATAAAAATTGAGCATCCAACCAAATATTAATTTCCTTTTTAATAGATAGTAAAAACTTACTCAATTTCCTTATCAACTATCAGTTATTTCGACAATATTCTCAACTTGGAAATATGGAAGCAGCACAAGTTGATCACTTTTCATTTTGTAGCTAGTTTAGGCTATTTCAGTTTCTATACTCATCTTGTTCATCAGCAAGTTAAAAACAACTAATACATATTAAATGAAAACCAACATCACCACTATATTTGCCAATTATGACGAAAAATTGCAGACGAGTTTGTGACCACTCCATTAAAATACTGGATGAAGGTGCACTCAAGTGCGAAGCAAACAAGGCTTCAACGTTGACATTTCTATTAGATTCTGAGATACACCTACAGAAATCGCCACTTTGAGCCATACTGAAAAGATTTGTCTAGTTTATGTATAGTTGACAAAGAATTCAAAAATTTAAGAGTAAAGATAAGGGTGCTTCGTATGGCTATACTTTGAAGTCCTCACCCGCGAAGATATTTGATATTTGAAGCCTTCATTGAACATGCTGCATAGACATGATATTGAAAGTGAAAAACTTTTGTTGATTGAAAAGACGAAATGAATGTTAAAATTTGGAAGGCAACGCCTCTATGTATATGTAAGAATTTTAGATTGTTCAGAAATATAAATTATTGGCAGAAGTTGATATGACATCAACAACATATGATCTGAACAAGTAAAGGAAGCTTTATTTCTATTCAATCAATATACATAGTAAAGAAAACAAGAAATAATGGAAAGTATGAATAAAATTATAGCAAAATTCCTGACCAGTTGAAATTACAGTACGGATAAGGAATAAATAATACATAAAACTCTCGTTATACGACACCAGAATCTCTCGAACCAGTTTAATCATATTGACTTGATTAATATTACTTAAAAAAAATAATGCTGTAAGACTGAAAACATGTCTCTGCAAATTAAATGAATGCATATCACATGCATTTATTTACAATGTACAACAGGTGAAAATCTAGCGAAAAAGCCGGCAAATATTAGAACAATATCTATAAAGCGATTTTTGTTGCAGTTAAGAGAACAATAAAAACTTATCATAATTTTTCCTATGAAAACTAATTTCAACTACTACACTTTTTCAACAGATTTTATCATTTCAAATACTACCAAAATTAATGACTAATTGCTACTTTAAGTTTATGTGAAAACAATAAATAGTGATAATTACAATTCACATTTGGATAAGTGAAAAAAAGATGAAAGCTGTATTACAATCACGTTGGAAAAATTTTTTTTAATCACCGAGATGACAGATTTCATTGTAATAAATGAAAAACAACGATCAAAAAAACAGAGCTTGACATAAAAAACAGGTAAATGTATATGAAAACGTAAAATTACAGATGAAGAATGAGAATAGCTATTCAAATATTAAAAAATTTGAAAAAAACACAATTTTGATTAGTTTTCAAAATTTAAATTGAAAGTAATTTTTTGCTCACGAGTCAATATTTCTGCGCTGTCCGTTACCATAATGTATAACAACTGAGGCTTTCGCCATTTTTGAACCATAATGACCAGCCCAGAACTGCTGATCTTTCCCACAGTGCTCAAAAAACACATAACGAATACCCTTTGGATAATTCGTGAAAGTATGTTCAATTTTCTGCCATTCTGCATCTAAATCAAAGACTTTAAACGTCGTCAAAATTAACAAAGTGGTTGCTTAAGTGAATATTCCAAGTACATATGCATTTACCACAAGAATGTGTACTATACAAAATGTTATGGCAGTAGTTATGAGTTTAAAAAAAATGAAGATCGGAGAATATTTTTTTCATTGCACAGATCTACCACATAAGTTAAATCAACCTGTCCAATCTTCCATCACACGACACCGAATAACTTCTGTATCAGTTGTTACATCACGCCAAACCACATTGTTTACTGAAAAGCGAACATGAAATGGTCGAGAAAGACCAAAATAGAAATCGGGTGAACTCGATGTTTCTGTTTCATTTGTCAACGACAAGCTTCCATCACCAAGCAATTGAACATCCAGTAAATACACGGATGAACAGTCAAAACGACAAGTATAATATTCAGAAACAGTGATCGGTGGACAAAATTCATCAAGAAATACTGGCTGGAATAAATCTTTATCATGGAATATTTCTGTCTTCATAATTAATAGAATTTTAATCTGAATTTGAAAACTTTCTTAATAATGAGTGCAGTTTTTTTTTACCTTAAAAACATTTTTTTTAAAAATGGATCAATTTTTCCTGAATAAACTGAAAATTGCTAGAACCCATAGTGATAAGTAACTTGAAATGAAACAAGCATATTTGTTCTGCATATCTGACCGGTACTATAGTTGCTTTACAATTATTTTTCTTATTTTTTAAAAATTATATAGAAAACATTCAGGAAAATATGTAACATTACTATCAATCTACGACCTCTCCTTAACTATGATAAAAAAAACTAAACTGATGAATTTCTAGCATGTAATAATCTAAAAAATAAGTTGCAAAATAAGGAATATAAAAATTTTCTAACTTCTATTCCTTCCCTCCACAAATCAACAACTTGAACTTTACTACACCAACCAAAACTTGTTGCAAATGCAGTCGATATGTCATAAGCCGATGAATTTGAACAACCTACTGGCGGCTTTTCGATGATAAATCTAAATCTGATGAAAGATGGTTGGTTACTAAATCAGTTACGTGCCAGTTATAGCAATTCTTTTGATGTAATGAATAAAATCTTCAAAATAAGGTGAACCAGACAAATTAAATCACAAGACAGTTAGATATATCAGTAAGTTCTATACTGCGGCAGATTACTCTGATTTCCTTTCAAAGAATTCAAAAAATCATTTTAATGAACAGTTCTTGAAAGAGTTTCTGAATCATCTCCAGAATTCAGAAAATTGAGAAAGGAAAGTTAATTAACAATTTTGATAAAACCACAAATTCGAATTCGAAGATTCGTAGGCATAGATTATGCTCTTTTTGTGATTTTCGCACACATAATTCAAGCAAAATAATTCTTAATTTTACCCATCACCATCATTTTCGCGCACTTGCCAGTTATCAAATGATCCGTTATCACCACTTGGGTTCCGTATTAGATTTCTTCCAAAAGGTTGCTTTATGGAAACTTTTTTGATATTCAACAAAGGTTCACTTCTTAAAAAAGTAGGCGGCAAATTCAATGACTGAAACTCCATATATCTAATCCAAAATCCTGGAGCAGATAAAATTTTGCACCATCGATGGCAAACCTGTAGTAGTTTTAGGACAAAAGCATTTATGAAACACTATATGGTCAGAATAGCAAAATAAAACTGTATGTTTAAATCAAGAAAATTGCACAGAAAGTGGCATGGAAGCACTTTGATTATACTTCAAAAAATTTTACATTTCTGCAACGATATCATATGCATTCATTGCGAAGCTATAATAAAAATAGAACATGAAATAACTAGAATAGCATAAAATATTAGAAATAAAATAAACTGTACCAAGGAACACACACAAAGGATAGAGCGTGGACTACCACTCCTGATCAAAATTTCAGTCAGAACTTCTGGAGGAATCGGTGCATCACCAATGTAAATGTCATTATTTCCATCTGTAATTAGGGGAAATTAATCGAAAATCATTTAAATGTCATCACCAAAGTTTTTCTTCTGTCATAAAAAAGATGTGAAAAACAAAATAAAGTAAAAAGAACTGACAAACGCAGGAACTTCCATATTATATAAAAAGTAAGATTTATATGCTTACAGGAAATCGACCAAGATAAAAAAAATTTCCTCTGTATTTACCTACGATGCATTACCTTCTGCTAACGTAGATGCTTTCATTCCTACAACAGGCTGTAAGAAGCTGAAAAACATAGTAAGCAAAAAATTAGTATGAATAACGTGAATATGGTGTTCTACAATCCTTACAATATAACCACTGGAATATATAATATACGGAGTAACCTTAAAGAAATATTATAACCAAACTCTAAAACCAAATTCTTATAACGGCTCAAATGACTACTTTCTTGAAACAACAAATTTCTCGCTACCAGTGAAAAAAAGGGAACACCAAATTATCTGGACATATAAAACTACTTTATAACATTAAACTAAGAGATTTTTTATTACCGCTATACGGGTGTCCTAATACTAAATCAATTGGAGCAATGAAAACACCCCTACAATGCCATGCGATCTCAGAACTGATGACAAACTGCTGAATGAATATCTGGACATATAAATCTGGCTTTAGCAAATTTGATGCATATTCGAATTCTTGTACAAAAATAAACCTGATAGAAACATTTTTAACGATGTTTTGTAGGAAAAAATCGAAATGACATACAAAGCAATAGCATAATTAACGCAAGCGAATATCCTATAAAATAATCCCCCACTCATGCACATAAAATTTTATGAGCACAAACACCAGACATTGCAAAATGAAATTACAAGAGAAGCAAAACGCTATGTAATATTTACATTTTGCAAGAGCATCACAAAATATTATCATCATTCACAATTATTCAATAACCTTGAAAATCAGTTGATGGAAACACGTGTGTTTCCAAATAAACTCAATGCATGCATATTAATTTCGGAGTGTAAATATAAAAATTTTCACGGCCTCAATTGCATTCAGAGATAACATTACAAAATTAGCGTACCATAAAGCGTTTTATTGTGTAATTCTTGAATCATTTTACACTCAAATTTGATGTACTGTAGTAATCAATTAATTGTAGATGATTAATTTACTTGATTTAAAAAAAGCTATTCCATGTAACTGATCTCTAGAACAAGGATTATGTCATGTAATTAATTAAGACACTCAATACATTTCATGTGACTATAAATTTTCAACTATCACACTGAATACATAGATTTAAGCAATGAATAAGTGAATGAAAAGTTTGCTAATTGTGATATTTTAATTTAATCTTGATAATAAATGAGCAAGATATAAATCTAGGCAAAAATTATAAGTTAAAAAATAATGTTCTAAGAAGAGCATGTAGTGACTTTTAAACTAATATAACAATTTAATCCGATGAAACTTTTCATGATTCAGACATTTCATGATTTCTTCTCCTTCTGCTCATCGGTCATCTACAAACTGCTATTTTTTTAAAAACTTGCAGAATTAAAAAATCATCACAATTTATCGACTGCATTAAATAAGTGTCGACTCTAGTAATAACTGTCAGTAAATCAAAAACTAGAATGTGAGATAATCATCCAACTAACAACAAAATAAAACAAGAAAATTGGATAAATAGCAAGCACTTTTCTCTTTTCCGGTTGAGAGTTAGACAAGAATGCCATCGATGCTGAAATACACATTCCGTAAAATCTTGGAACGTTTGTTGGACGCAATTTATAACTAATGAATAGCTATTTGAAAATTTTAAAAGTTATCAGTAAAATGACTCAACCTCTAATTAACGGCTTAAAAAAGCAAGCGAATTTGTAGGATGTCGTCAAGTCAATCAAACAGTTTTGAATATATCGAAAAATTACCATAAGTTGCCCACATGAAACCTGCCCCAGTGATCAATAAACGTAATGCGAAAAAAAATGTTGTCGGCTCGACAGATGCTTCAATAAATTTGCACACAATCGCTGCTAAACCTGGAGGCAGCAAACAATAACCAAGAACGCACAGTGTTTGAAAAAATGATCTAAAAAATTACTGACAGCTATTCTTGAACATCAAACAATAAAAACAAGAAACAAAATTGTTTAAAAAGTATTTTCTAATAATTTAAAAGATTTTTAAAAATTAGAAATGATATAATAGTACCAAACACAAAAAGAAGACAGAGAGCATCTTAAAATAAAATTAATCAGCCACTCTAAACTATTTCAATTTTTTAAAGAATTACATTTTGCCTCCGAGCAGCTTTGAATTCAAAGTGACAACGCATGAACCAAAGAAAGTCAATATAAACACTTCTGTAAAATGAGGGCCCTTCCCACTTCTACCTCCTTGCAACATCCTTAAAATATTTTTAGCCAGCATAATATGATAAATTTGAAATTCTTATTGAAAAACTGACAAATTGATCGACTTTAGACAGTTAATGGCAAGCATTAATTTTAAGATTGAGAACACAAGAAAAAACCTTCTTGACTTACCGTTTTCTATAAAAGTGAATATTAAATTGAGTAAGCGAATAACTTACAAAGAAATACACACACAAATAAATAGCGGTCCCCAAAGATCCCAGTCTCGTAATAACTGTCTGTTACTTTTGGGCACTAAAACTTGTGCAAATTTAGCACTGATAGCAACCAAATCTCGTCTCTAAAAGCATATGAACAGAATTTGATGTTGAAAAGCTAGATAATATCATTAATACCAGAAATTCTTCTTGATACGTAAGGCAGTAAAATTGTAGAGTTAAGATATGGTAGATTATTTAATCTTACAACAAACTAGCAAGCCAATGCTTTAAATAACATTCATAGTAACGAAGATTGAAAAATCGTGGTAAAAAAGAAAAAAAACCACATAGTTTCTTCTTGTTATCAATTCAGTTTGACGCCAACCACTGATTTTGAAGCAGTTTCACTTAGAACTTATCAGCACGAGTCTCAAGTGATAAAGGAAACTAACAACGGTGTCCCAAACAGGTTCATCTAATGTGTCGAATTCACTGTTCAGATTAGGCTCAACAGCGGGACGATTTGATTTTGATGTTGAACCAGCAATTTCTCCACTTAAGTCATCATAAAGTTGTTGACGCCTCTCTTGATCTTTTGCTGCGATTTCTCTTTCTAACTAAATGAATATCCACGTAAATATTCCACTTTTTTGTTAAGAACAATACCAATATGCTCTAAAGACAGAGTACATTCAGCTTTCAAACTTGAAATCACAAATCCAGACAATTTTTTTAAATAAAATCATGAAGTAAACTAACTAATTCTATATCAATTGCAGCATCCCCAAAACTCTGTGCCATTTCCTGATTCGAATGTGTATCCTCACTTATATCTATAATGGTTTGATAAAAATTGACATGAAATGAACAGAATTACAGTGTCTTGACGAGACCGAATTTTAATCAGCTTATTTCTGTCAAGGAAAATATATGACACAAAGTTTACAAACATAAACTAACCAACTAAAGGATTAAAATATGCTCCCCGAATAGATGCTAAGTTCACTGCAGCGCTTCCAACAGTGGACCCAACTTCTACCTTATGAAGATTAGTTGATGAGTGTACAATAGGTACAGTTTCCGACATACATTTGATTTCCTTGACACCTGTAGTGTCCTCTAAAATTAATTCAAGTCCAGAAAAAAATTATGCGTCAAAAGTCATGTCAAAACGTAAACTTCATGGTCAGTTACGAGTGGAATCAATTTCTATAAGATAGTCTCCATAAAAATGCACAAAACCTTATCCAATTTTTTTCAGCACATCTCTTCCCATTAGAAGTTTGAGAATGTTCACCACTATTAAAAAGGCCTTCCGGAATTGTTATGTTGTCTTGACTATAGAAATTCTTAAAAATATAACAAAAAATAGACCACTGATCTGGTTCTTTATTATTTTTGTTATGTTATTACCACAGAACTCCGAAATATGATATAATTTTCAAGCAGCTTGCCATGCATCTTTATTCGGCCAGTAATTCTGGACATAAAAATTACCAACAAATTCTGCGATCGGACGCAGTTCTTGACTATAAAAATTCTTAAAAATATAAAAAAAAATAGACCATTGGTGCAAACAGTTAATAATCAAGAAACAAAATGCAATATACGCGTTTATTCAATTCAGTACAAACAACTGTACAAAACTTAATTTTCCAAACACAGCTTTGGACAAGTTGGGCAAATATCGATGCAATCAAATGCAGCTCATGCTAAAAAATCTTGTTCAGTTTTTTAAAATCATCAAATGTAGAGCAAAAACATACAAAGGAATGGGAATATGCATACTCGGCACTGTTTACATTAAGGTCGGGCAATCGGGCTTTGAACCTTCATAAATGATGCAGAAGGTGAGAAGTATGTCGTTGATGAAGAACCAGTATGATCACGCCTTACCGTTGGATTAACTATCTCTAGTCCCAGAACAGGAGTGAAAGTTACACTTGAAGCAGTTCCTGAAGCTCGAGAACGGATGGACGTTACACCACCCATAGCTCGCTGTCGTTCCATTGTTTTTTGAAGCTTTTGTGACATTCTAAAACTGCTCTGGATGATAAGACTTATGGACATTTAAAGCACAAATGACTAGCATTTTTTAGAGGTGTTAATAAATCTTAATAATTTCCCGTTTCGTTAAGGTGTTAATGAGAACAAGGGTAGATTGTGGAAAAATTTTCTAATACAGTGCTTTAATCAACAAAATTAAAGCCGTCTTTTTCAGATAAGGCATTAACAAGAATGAAGTAATAAAAGAAGCCATAGTGGACCTAGCTCTTGTTTTCGGATCAACCGTTGCATTTCTAATGCGACCTCCAGATGTAGGACCACTCATTGCTTGTCCAAGAGAAAATCCCATATTTTCTTGAATAACATCCTCAGCTAATTCACCAAAATTCATGCGATTCGACTTCTTTCGTAACTCAGTCATACCTAATCGTTCTTTCATTTTTCGTACCCTGCGTCCCCCTCGTTTTTTACTGGCCTACATGATAATTTTTTGTAAAACTGAACAGATAGTTTCAAGTCCGATACTGAGATGGTAATTTTCTTAAGTGACTAGCAAAACTCTTAACATTAATTTTTTCTCGACTATTTAATTACATGGCATAAATGTGCTACACTCCAGGAGACATATCAAATTAGTATGAAAATCTTTCCGAAATGACCCTACTCCATATTTTTTCAGTAATAAAATTATAGCTAAATAAAAAGTAAGCAATAGAATTCACTAATGACCTTGTCTAATGGCTTTGGTAATGGTTTTGCTGCTTTTACTGGAGGAGGTTCCAGCATTTTCTCAATTTTTTGCTTTATTTGTTCAAACAAGTTCTTCCCAACTGAGCCATCAAGTGATTCATGAATAAAATCAACACGTGCAGCTAATGTTGTTTTTGCCGCTAATAATCGAGCAGCTTTTTGCCTGAAAATATAAGAAAAATGAAACTACGTATTTCAGTTCTATCTAAATAAAACAAACTGTTACCTACAGAGAAATGAAATTTTGCTATTTTAATAAAAAGCCGGATCCGATTTTTTCCATGTTTAACAGAAAATTTTCCAATCATTTCTGGCTAAAGCACCTTAAGTCTGGGGGAACTCCTTGAACAATAGGATGGAAAAAGAGGAAACCAGCATGTGGTAACACAGCTGTTGAACTGAAACCACTTAAAGTTTTCTTCTGTGTACCAAGAATCAGTACATTGCAAGCAGGAAGACGGGCAAGTGGAGCAAGACCTGAAAATACCTTTAAAAATGTAGTATTAAAGTATTAGCTGGGTTTCAACTTTTTATTACATTTTTTTCAAAACAATATTGCTTATTCAATTGACTGAAATAGTGACTATTATTATAAATCTAAATAGATATTATAATAGTAATGAAAATGAAGTTTAATAATAAACACATATGGGTAATCTCAAAACAAAAGATAATTTACCTCCGGCCTTAGCCACAATCATTGCGGCAGTACCAGCTCCAAGTATTTCGCAAAGATTAGGAGCAATAAGTGCCATTCTTGATTCAACCAACTGATACATATTGAGTCTATCAGTGTGCAATTTTTCTGCAACATCACAAGCTTCTTGCACAGCCGCTAGTACATCTGGTTCTAAAGCCTTTCCCTGCGTAGTTGAAGCTGTCACACTCACCACAATACATGTAGCTGGAGCCAAAATTTCGCTAAAATCTATCTCTCGTTAGGATGTCATACAAAGACTCTTATTAATGCAGAAAGAAAAGCACTAAATAGAAATAAGATATAGTTCATTAGAGACTGGATAACAAATTTAAGAAGCGCATAACCTCAGAATTTGCTTATTTTGACCTTTAGTTGAAATATCGTTTCCCAGAAGTTTTACTGTCGCCAAGTATTCAAGCGAATTTGGTACCAGTGACTCTAATTCCGGAAAGCGTTTTTCATATTTATCCCGCACAAATTTGTGAATAACATTCAATTCTTGATCTACTTCTGCAGCAAGCTGCAAAACGTAATTTCAAAATTATGTCCTCGATATCCTTGAATAATTGGAACCGTATATTAAGCGATAAAGTTTTCATGTAAATCTCGAAACCGTCAATTAAGAACTATAACACACTGCTATTTACTAAAACTGTAGACAATTTTGATAAATGAAGTCAGAATGTAGACACAATTGAAATGGAAATGCTGAAATGGATACCCCAGAAAGTTCTACGATGAGTTTATATTGAGGATCTGCCTCTAATGGCTTCGTAACTGGTGGAATTTCTTTCAAGTCCAACTGTTCTTGCATTTTGGCGATGAGATTTTTGTAACTAAATGACACGTAAAAATAAATAAATGAAAGATCCAAAAATTCAGCACAAATTAGAAACAAATAGATGTTAATATATCTCGAGATTCAGCTTTTACAGCTGCAAAGTAATCAAAGTTCCATTTATATTGAAGGAGTAGAATTCTTTAATCATTTGATCTTTTTGGTCTAATCAAGCAGATGCGAAACTCAAGGTATTCTTGTAAAACATTATAAGCATACTTCGGATTTGATAATAACTTGGCGACAGAACCAACACGGTCATAATTTCCTGCTGAAGTTAGCTGCTCATCAATTTCTTCCAGAGATTCTACGACATCACGTTCTGTATCTTCAGTCACCTCTTCATCTTCTTCCAAATCTGCTAACAGTTCATCAGCAAGTGACATACTTCCTCACTAAATAATGAAACACCAAATTTCTGAAACCACCAGTCAAAATTGACATGTTAATTTGCTTCTCAAGCAATTAACATGTCAATAATTTAAAGAAAACATATAACTAACTAAAAAACCAAATCAATCTGTGTTAATGCATTTAAAAATATTGGAGAGGGAAATGCAACAAAGTATCTATTTCATACCCCAATCAAAAAAATCAAAACTGACTTTGATATTAACATATTCTTTTTTTTGAAAACATATGTGCACACGCAATGATAACGTGTAACTCCGTAGCACAAGTTTCACGTACAAAACTTCTGCGCATGTTCATTTATTTACACGTCAAAACTACATGTCAAGAATAAAATAACCAAATGCACAGCTAATGCAATATCCTCATCCCACTCGTACATCACTATGCAAAATGTTTGAAGAAATAAATTTTACATAAATTGTTTTGTAAAAATTCTTGCACGCCATGAAATACCAAACAGTCATTACGTTTCCTCCGGGAGTTACTTTTCTTTTTACAGTATAGTTTGATACAGTACTTTAGTTTTGTTACCGCTGTACATTCAGTGGAGTACATTTGTAGGTGTACAGTGTACAGTCACGGTGTACAGTTTCTTCTATTTTGTTATTGATTTTGGTGGTGCAGTTCGCGTCCCTTAGCTTTGTTGTTTATAAATTTTGTCACCTTAATATCATTACTGCTACAGTACAGTTCACAATAATTGTCTTGCTACAGTGTTTGCTTACAATTCAGTTCAATAACTTTATCTTCATAATCAGTATAGTATGCAAGAGTGTAGTGAGCCCACCGTATTATAATGCACTGCGCACAGTTTCTAGTTTGCTTGCGCAATCATTTTATAGATGAACAATGAAAAAGTTGCTGCTCAAGGTCAAATGTCACATTTTAAAAATAACGGTTATGCAAGTATTTCGAAGCAATGTTTTTGTTAGACTAAGTTTAATGCTAGATATGTTTGTATGATTCAAAATGATAATTAAAAAGTTTCAGTTATTCCTCTGGTGTCAGTATCACCAAGTTATGATAGCTGTAGATCTTATTTTTAATCGTTGGAAGTCATTTTCGTGACACGAGGCATTTTCTTTAAAATTTTTATGACGAAAAAATATGAGTAGGGAATATAGTGGCACTGTGTAACTATGATTGACACGTGATATTAACTTGGTAACGATAAAAGTAGGCAGGCTTGATCAAGATTTGTAGAGAAACGAATACTGTAGTTCCGCTTACGATATTCATGAAAGACAAAGGTTTAAAAATATTCAACAAAATATGCAGAATTTGATGAAAGAACTCTAAAAGTTGGGTAACGGTGAAATGAAAAGTTTTATTTGCATTTGAATTGAATATTTGTAAGGCCAGTGATTCAAGAATATAATGAACTGAACTGGTGCAGATTCATTTCATTTACTGAACAAATATTATTGCGCTGAAAATTTTGTATTGAACCTTTTTTCAATTTAAATTATCTTTCAAACATTACAGTTATTTTTATCACAACGAGAACAGGAACCCTCGCCCCCACTCAAACGGCATATTGACGAACCTGCCACACAGCCTAATTGTTGTTTCGCACACGTTCGTAAAGTAAATGGCGCTGAAATACATACATACATACGTACATCATTAATATTTTCAAAAAACGACGGGTTACTGAAAAATAATCAGTGCTAGGTAGTCATTGTGATTATTAATGATTGACCAACAGTTTTTGATAAATAACTAGTTATTGCTAAGATTCAGCGAAATAATAGCTATCATCGAATTACAGGAAAATAATCTCTGTTGAAGTAGTCCGAATATCGTTGGTATAATAGAAATATTGGTATTTAAAAGCTTTAAAAATTACAGTACTGATACTAATATTGTTACTGCTTTTCTTTTATCGAACAGCAGTAATCATGATATTAGTTACTGTTGATGATAAAATTATTTAAAATAACATTCGTTATCTGACATTTATGGTAACTAAGCAGTCGCTGAGAAATAGGAGCTAAAAGATTTTAATAGTCATCCTGACTGAGTTTTCTCTGGAACCTCAGGTACTGTAATCATTCAGTACTGACACTTTCCTCCATCGCAGATGAATTTGTGGCATACAAATTCCCTGGAATTACTGCCGCCACTGTCGCATAATTTACTTATATATTTGTGATTTCTACCAGTATAACATCGCGTTGCACAATCTGAAAATTGAAATTGCAGTTGCTGTTGACAGTAAAATAAAATTGATAAAAAGTAAAAAGGAACTGAATATGAGTTTTCTTTTCTAGAAGTTCTCTCAGGAGTAAATCTAGAAGTTCTCTCAGAAGTAATCTGAAGTTGATTACAGATGGAGTATATAAATGTATCTGATGTCTTTGAATTTAGATACTCACTTTTTGTTGCAGTTTATTAGACTTAATTGAAAATGTTTGAAAAAGAGTATTCTGAAGTAATCATCGAAAATACTGCAAAACATGCAAATGAAGTCAGTTTTATTTGCATGTTTTGATTAGATAAGGAAGTTAGGTTTAGAGTTTAATGGTTCTTGGTAAATGCTAAAGTTTATTTATCATGACTAATACTGAAATATTATTATTCTCGAAGTTTGTCGTCAAATTGAAATGAAGTGAATTCAGAAAGAGTCACTAACTTGAAATTATTGATCAGTCCTGAAATAACATAAATCGTCATTTATTATTTGTAGTGGAAAGTTGAAATTTTGATCATTAAATTTTAATAATAATGAAACAACCTGAAAGTGATATGATAGTAATGATAAGAATACATGTAAAGATCAGATGATTAGAACCCAAAAAACTTTTGATCATGCCATCTGAATCAGTAGTATGCATATTCTGAAACTAGTTCTATCATCAGCAAGTGGTTGCAGTTGCAATATTGTCTAGTATTCACTTTAATAGTGAGATATTAATCACAGGTAATTAACGAAGCAATAAGTACTTTCCTAACAAACAAAGTGCTTTTATAAATGACCACCAAAACTTTGCAAAAATTATACAGTACAGCGTAAAGAGCATTACAGAAGCTTATGTTAGCTTCATATCAGTGATGTTTCTACGCACACTGTAGGTATAACAAGAGAACTAATAATTGAATAAAAAACATTCAGAAAACTAGTTTGTTCGAAGTGCACACCGTGGTCTCATTCATATGATGCATGTTATTTATAATGTAATCATGATTACTGAGCAGTTATTTGCTGCGCAAATAATAAACATTGTTCATTTGCACCAGTTTTGCGTGTCTGATTTATATAAATGATATAAGGCTTCTAATTATGATGTAGCACTGAAATGAGGCATCATATTTACTTGTATGAATAACAATTATTAGTTCTAGTTTGTAATATGCACTTACTTATTCGATATCAGTACACTCATAAGCACAATCATATTGATATGGTTGGTAAGGTACAATAATGCAAAAATGGTAATTATTATTTTTCATATTTCTATTAAGAAGTCGAAATGTATCGAGTGAGTTAGCATTTTCAGAAAAGTATTTCGGAATCAGTTTCAAAAAATGAGCAGAGAAGAATCACGCAGATGTGAGAGGACACGGAAATTATAAATGGAATGTTAAACGTTGCTGCGCATGGAAACCCTTTTAAGACATTTCTGAACTTTTTGCTAAAAGTTTTCATCGATAGAAAATAAACTTGACATTAGCATTGGCAATGGCAAATAACAATTCAGTGATATTCAACACGTGGCTTGTAATAGTGCAAGTTATGATGATACTTGGATGTGGAATTCTAAGAATAAGCAGGAATTGAACTAATTTAACAACTAGAATTTTTATTTCTTGTGGGATCTATTATAATTTCCATCTCCAAAATTTGCTGATTCAATGAAGTTCTAAGAAAAAAAGTGATGTGTGTGAATAGCTAAGTCTAAGATCAAGCTAGCTCTAGATGAAACAAAACTTGGTGTTCTAAGTTTATCAGTGATCTAAGCATTTACTTATCGATCAGCAGAAAGGTCAACAAAAAGCATTTAAAAAAGTTTTACGGAGATTGCTTTTATTTTTATTATCTTCTGCTTCTCGCAGGAATATCGAAACTTCGATGTTTATATAAATCAGTGCAATAAACAGCTGCTGTGATGCACAAACCGATAGCTGTGATGGCAATTAAAACGAACAAAATACAAGCAACTATGAATAGCGGCAATGGCATCGTCTGGGATTCTGAAAGAAGAATCTTAATGTGACTAAAAAATGTCTTGCTTTGTCTTTCAATTATTGTGGCTAATTCATACCACTTTTTAACTGATTTCAAACAAGCGAAAAATTGTAGACTAATTAGTTTAGTAGTTTACTAGATAACAAGTATGAGTGAGTTAAATACAATTTTATTTTGAATTTAATTAATATCAGCTGTGAAATGCATTTCTGTTAAATCCTTGTTAATTAATGAAGGAAAATCAACTTGCCCGATTCATTTCGAGGAACAATAGCGGGGTAATTGCATTTGACATCTATCGGACAGTTTCCGAGAAGGCAGCATGGCGGATCAAGGTTTGGTTTTGTAGTAATATCCATTAGTCGAGACTGAGGTACTACCATTGGTAATATTTGATTTGGTAAGAGAGGGAATAACGCTGACTGATCTGGTAGTTCCCTTGCATTTATTTCAGAGTAATCTTGCTGTGTAGCAAGTCCTATACTAGGTTTGGCAGTTACTGGATAATATCTCGAATTGTCAAATGGTATCTCAAATTTTGTCTCAGATTTGTGTGAAAGAGTATCAAGTGGTAAAATTTCAGATTCATGTATGATTGGCTTTGGTTGATATGGAAAGCTTCGTGATCTTGAGCATATTATTGTAGATGTGTTGTGACATCGGCATTGTATTCTATAACTTTGCATTTATTATCACTACTATCAATGATCGCCATTCAATTGTCAAAATTCTGCTGCCATTCTTTTTGGCAGAATTTTGCTCTAAATTTTAAATGTCAACGATGAGTGAATAGTGTTTTAACACATATTTTGATATTAAAACTTTGGTGGAAACAACTATCATATGCTAATTACAATCCTTACAATTAATGGTAGAAACAGGCATAATTTAGTGTATACAAAAATGTTAAACTTCTTGTCAGCTAAAATGTTGATCAAACAGCTGATTGACTGCTTAATGACCAAATGTAATTTTGGTCAAAAGATTTTAAGATTATTAATAAAGTTGAAAATTTCAGTACAGAAAAGTATTACCCTGGCTGGTCAGAAAGCTGACATTGAGCTGCGGTGCACAAAGAACAGCAACAAGTAACAGAACAACAGAACTGAATTTCATGCAAATTAAGTGCAAAAGTCGTCAGTAATAAATTGTTAACTAGCAGAATAAGCAGAATTTCTTCAGAATGCCACATTGGATGTTGAAAATATTGTAGTCAAGAGGTAAGTTGCTTTTCAAGGATGAAAAATGAATGGTTGAAGAGGGAACGCATGCATCTTTGACAAGATGAATGAGCAATTTTTGTAAAAAAACAAGGATAATAGTTTTTCATAGATTATTTCTGCCTTTTTCGTCTTTTCCATTTTTAGTATTGTCGAAAAGATTGTTGCAAAACTCACAATACAGTAATGATTACTCAGATTCTTTCCTAACTTTTGTATCAATTACATCGATGGATTTTTTTTTCGCTTTCTAATAATCAAAAAATGATACAAATTCTGTGCAAGCACTTTTCAAAATTTCCATTTTGATAATCAATTTATCATTTATCATTTATTAATTCTACTCCTTTTGTAATAATAACTATAAGTGTGCTATCTGCAAGAATACTAATTGTATTTATTAATTCTACTCCTTTTGTAATAATAACTATAAGTGTGCTATCTGCAAGAATACTAATTGTATTATTTATACTGAAGCAATGATTACTAATAAAGCTATAACGAAGCAATTATACTCGCAATATTAAATAGCGATAACAATGCTAATAATCGACAACTTTACCAATCTCTTACAAATTTTGCAAAATTTGCATAAGATATGAATACATTGTAATAAATGCAATTATGCTTGCAGAAACAACAACAATAACAGCAAAAGTAATAGAAATAACATTCGTAATAAGATTTTTCTTCTTTTGGTCGTTTCAGGCTTTCGTTTACTTTCCGTAAAGCATTTCTATTTCTATGCAATATGCATAGAAGATTTATTTCCACTACTAAAACTTCTGATACTTTGTAAGAGTACAAAAGGAAATTTGCATTTTCAAATTTTCCTCTCTGCCATAAATAAGTTTTCCAAAAAAAAATCCATATAAACTTTTTAAAAAAATTCATTCAAATTTTTAAAACGTTAAAAAAAAGTACAAATTCAAAAAAATTTGAATAAAAATATGAAATTACTCGCTTTAATTAGTTAATCAATCTTAATTCCTAAACTTAATTCAAATTGTGTTAAGCAAGCAAAATTTTACCAAAATTATTTCAAGACTTGTAATTTAAATGAATTATTATAAAAAACTACAAAATGTATCATATTTATTGAGTCTAAGTTGACTAAATAATTTTCAACGTTTGGCATCAGTTACGTAAAATAAATTTTTACAATACTATGTTAGTAATACGATAGATTTCAACTCTATCACTGTAATGATTACTAATTGTATTTGTTACAGTGCAACAAATTACGATGAGCAGTTTTGGAGTAATTCGTCTGTTTTTTAAAGCATTTTATGCTATTCAAAATCAAGCAAAAAAAACTTTCTAGCTTGCTTTGCAATTGTGCAAAAACAAAATACTCTTTCATTAAGATTTATAGCCCGTCACAATCACATCTATTTCCCGCCGTAATCATCACTTATTAATGGTCATTCATTTATTCATTTGCTGAAAGAATGTTTGGAAGAACCAACTGGTCAAATATTGCTGGAAAGGAGTAAGAGAGAGTAGCATTTACTTTTCTCATTATTATATCTTTAGTAGCTTTGCTTACATATGATAAGTTCTTTCCCATGATTACTTCCTTTGAAATTAAGTAATTAATAGTGGATTTTATTTCCAGTAAATTTAATACTGGAACTAGTTAGTAATTTTTTCTCGATAATATCATATCTATCATGCCCCTATCATAACATTCACGTAAGTTAGTCAAAATTAGAAATAATCAATATCCAATAACTTACTGAACGTAGTAGAGTTAATGAAAATTAAGCTCTTGAATATTATATAAGTTAAAGTAAGTTGAGATAACTTACTCAATTATCATTTCGAATATTAGTGTGCACTTCAAATTCCAGCTTTACTTTCCATGCATAGATTGCTTCTTGAGACTGCTTAGTTTAATTTTTAAGACTTTCAAATTGCTGAAATTTCTTTTGTTGTGACGGATATATATTATATCTTATCTTCAGCACAAGCGTACAAACGCATACACAGATGCATACATGCCCTCACATGCATTCTTTCGTGTCCTAATATTATTAATAGGCCTAGAAAAAGACCTAGAAGCGTAGATTTTACCTTATTGATTGTTTCTAGGACTCGGTTTTTTTCTCATAACGTTTACTTCAAAGATGTGTGCAAGTGAGTAGGAAATTGAGTATGTCGGTAAATTAATAATTGTATGAGGCGACAGCTAGTCAATCAGCATAATTAAGCATATCAGTTAAAAGTCAAATATATGTATACTTTTATTTATAAGTCTTAGTAGAGGCTTACTTTTTACGAACTTTGACATCCGCAAACACATACACACACACATATATGCACATACATACGCACACGCATACACACATCAAGCACACACAATTACAAAATCCCATACTCTTAATCATTTAGTGTGGTATAATTTGTCAATACTAACTACGCTTGCATAGTTTTTGATATGGTAACGTCTAGTGTGTGAGTAAGGCCTGATAATGCAAGTCTGGTTCAGAAGGCCTTTCACTTTTTATTTGTGAAGAAGCAAAATTTTGTCTCTAATTCTATTTTATAATTTAGCATATACGTCTGTCTTTACGTTGTCTTTTTTCTCGTCTTTCCATGGTGTCATAGTGTGTCTCTAAAAATAGTTAATAGTAATAATCAAGCGCCAGTAGAAGATTTATTCGTTTATGCAAAATTGAAACATTTTATTATTTTTTATAGCGAAAATGAAGCTTTCATTCAAGCATCTTTGCTCGTTTGACTAAAATACTATTATGAGATCAGTGAATGATTAGAATTCTCAGTTTGTCAGTGTTGAATTGTGGTGAGCAACTGAAATAGCAAACACAAATGAGCGACGGAAAACACGAAAATAAATGAGTGCTTTTATACTCAAGTTGACATTAATGCATGTAGTCCTTATATTAGTGTAAATCTTCAAATCTAAAGTTAAAAAAATCAATAACTCTATTTTAAGTAGCATTCCCGGAGTTTTGGTTAAAATTCAAATTCATTTTCGTATTCAGAGAGCAAATGTCACGAAAGTATTCACATAGAACGGATATTTGTCAGAATGAAACTATCGCACTCACCTTCATTGGAAAACAAAATTTTTAATTCCATTTTTAATTGAGTAGAATGCAAACTAGTCTATTTGCATTTTGTACAGGCAAGTACTGTTGAAGGATAAAGCTAGCTAGCGAGTGTTGTTTCTGCTTGACATTTGGTGAACTTTACTGGTTGATAAAAATTATTTATACTATTTAAATCGTTTTTTTTTTCACGGGAAAGCTCATTTCTATTCACTTTTTTGATTATTTTACGAATTTTTAAGCTTTCTCAAGTATTGAGAAGCGATCGTTTTCAGCAATTTTGATATTTTAAATTGAAAATAGAATTTTGTTCTTTTTTTTCGCACAGTTTAAAAACTTGTTTTTTTTTCTAAATTAGAATTAGCAAATTTGTAATTCTGAAATTTGTTGTGCGTATGGATGCTGCAAATATTTTTGCAGAATTATTTACTCTCTTAGCATTGCTATTTGCAATTGTGAAAACAAAATTTAAATCTTTATAAACTCTCAGAAACTTCAAATTATCGTGCGATATTTGTTATTTGTTATTGACCAATTTTTACTTCCTTTACTTTTTCATTGCTTTTTACTACTCTTTTTCAAGTAGCTATTTTAAAATTTTCAACGAAAGATTTTCGAAATTTATTTATTTATTTATTTGTTTATTTATTTAAGGCTTAAATTTTAAATGCCTAAATAAGATTAGCATTTGAAAACGTTTTTAAATTCAAAAACATTCAAAATTTGGTTAAAATGAGATTATTGAAAATAATTGTAATAATTTTTGATTACTAAAAGTGATAAAGCGTTTATTCAGACGAAAAATTGTAAACAAATATTCTCTAATTTGTATGAGTCTTTTCAGGGCAGACTTTCTTAAATTTGAAAAGTTTTCTTCCAACCAAAAAATGATTTTTGCGAAAGAATTCATTTTGTAAAGAACAAATTTGCTTTGCAAGTACCAATTAATTGCAAAAGTTTGTTTATTCAATCGCTAAATTATTCATTCATTCATTCTTGTGCATAATTATTGCTTTATTTAACAATTAGTCAATTTCTATGCAAATAATTGCTTATTTATAATGCCTTAAGAAAATGACAATTGCAATGAGAATAAAACAAGCTGAAGAAATGTTTCACACATCATTCTGCTAATATACTTTGTAGCTAAAGTAAAGCAATCTTAGCTTATCAAAAAAATTATATCTGCAATAAATTCTCCACTGAAAAGCTTATTCAGACTGAGATAATTAAACAGCACAAATGTAAAATGTGAAGAAATAAGCGTGTAGTATTTGTGCTAAGTGGGATTTGCAAATTTATGCTAATTTTTTCTCACTTAAGCTAGTACTCACTCAGTCTAGTTTTTTTTTCAAGATGTTAATTTTGATGAAAATAATTGCACTCGTTTATAGATGTACGAATTCGCATGTTAATGATCAATAAAACAAATCAAGAACTTTGCTTCTCACAATGTTTTCTTGGAATAAAAATAATACCAGTAAGTATTTATAAAAGTTAGAGTAAAAGCAGTAAAGTTGAGAAATAATAGTGAAAAGAAGCGTTATTATTTTAAAATGTCCTCATCTATGCTTGACTTCAATATTTTTTCTTGGAGTTCAATCTAAGCAAATTTTTGCATGCGTCAAAAGTGCTGTTTTCATTTGACCTCATTTAATCAAGTTTAATTTTTATTGCGCACGTCAACATGAGCATTATTAACTCTAAGAACACTGGTATAAAAAGAGCATCCAATGTTTTGCTTAAATACTTTTTATTAATTAACATTAAAAACAGATTTAATATCACTAAATAAGAAATATTTAATGTTAATGTTAATTTGAATGATTTAAGTCTAGTTGCAATGACACGCAGCATAAAATAGCCAGTTTTGAAAGAAAAAGACGCAATTAATTAATAGTTCGTTCTTACTTAAAAAATAAATTTTTTATTTACGTATAAAATAACAATTAAATCAAATAACACACTACTGACATATTTGTAATAATTTAATTCTGTCGCTTATGCTTGCAATATTTTTAATTATTTTTGGAATTATTTGCTCAATTTAATTTTGTTGCATGTAATTGCAGTGTTTTTAATTATTTTTGGAATCATTTACTGGATTGTAAAGATGTAGAAGCTTTGCAGCTTCTGGATCAACTTCCTCCAAGGCACCTACCACACACAAAAAGAAAGAAGATGAGAAGGAGAAGAAATTTCTCGGACGATTATCTTACAAGCTTGATTATGATTTTGATAAAAGTTCGGTAAGAATTTCTTATCACTCACAATCTTTCTGCTAAATTATTCTTGACAATTTTAAAATTTTTTCAATTTGCATAAAAAATTTATCAAAAACAAGCAAATTTTCATGGAAAGATATATTCGTTTCATTCAGTCGTAATTATTTCAAAAATTTGCATAAATTTTTTGCGCAAATTAATTAATATTTCACCTTTTTTCTTGCTTTCTAAAACTAAAATTGCGATTGAACTGATGTTGAAGCTATCATTTGCAAGTAAATAATCATAACTGTTTCACTCGAAGTAACAAAATTCATAAATCCTAGCAGTTGTGCTCATTTCTATAATTGCCTAATAATGGAGAGAAAGTTCTTAATAATTAATGGCTCTGTTTCTTATTTATGCATAATATAATAATATTTTTTGTCTGATAATGTCATAATTTATATCAAATTGCATTAGAGTTTCAGTAAGATTAGAAAGCAATGATACTGAAAATATAACAATAATAAAACAATTCATGAATCATGGAATATTATTATGGCACATGGCACTTTGAATTGTTAATAAGACAGAATATACTCTGACTTGATAATTTGTAAAAGTGTTTTATTATTTTCAATGGCGTAAATATACACGTGATCAATGCCACGTTTCAGAAACTAAGCATTTAAAAAAAAGATTTTATTGTAGCTAAAACTAAAATTGCTGAAAAGTTTGCAAGTTGCAAAATTGTTCAGTTGGATTGTTTTCTAGAAAATAAAAATAATTTAAAAAATATAATTTGTATGCTTTGTCTTTAGGAATATCAAAAATGACTACAAGCTTATCAAAGTTATTTTTCTCACTGAAAAATATCGTTGAAAAATTTTTAATTCAAATATTAAAAACATAGAAAGTGCAGAAATTTTTTCCTTTTTTTGATAAAAATACCCTAATTTATTTTGTACTGTTAACATTTTTGATTTACCAAAGCAAAAATTTATCGAAAATTGCAAAAATGTTTTTTTTTTTGCACAATTTAATCACCAAATGGATTTTGACTTTGAATAATTGATATGCAAAAGTGTTCGTAAAACGAAATTGCGAATAAATTACAAATTTGACATTTTAAAAACAAAAAATTCAAATAATCATTTTTCATCTATCATTTACATCATTTGTATCATTTACGATCATTTCAAAAATTTTAAAAATCATTTTGTATTTTGTATCGCATTTTTTGCAGCTGACAGTAACTATCGTAGCAGCCGAGGAGCTACCAGCGATGGATCTCAGCGGAACATCCGATCCTTACGTAAAGTTATTCCTTTTACCCGACAAGAAAAAGAAGTATCAAACTAAAGTTCAGAAAAAATCGCTCAATCCTGTTTTCAATGAAAACTTCATATTTAAGGCATGTTTAGTAAAACATTCACCGGAATTAATTCTTAAGCTCAATGAACAAATAAGCAATTTTACGAAGGATTGATAAGTTTTGTATACATAATATGTCGAATCATAAGCTGATAATGATACTCTCATGATTATTAGCGATTACTTTTGATGTTTCTTTTAAAAAATGATCATTTTTGTGATTACCACACATATTTTCTGTAACTGTAAAAAAAACACGAAGGAAAAATTTTTTACTTTATTAAACAAGTAAAAATTGATTAATTCCCAAGTATACTTTCTATTAAGTGTTTTTACTGTTTAACTAATAAGTTTATGAATTACTTATAGCTTTTTCCAAATTCTTCGAATTTGCTAACATTTTTCAAGTTATAAGAGTGGTACAACTGTTGATAGCTGATAATTTTGACCATCAGATAAGCTAATTTGTTTAAATTTAACTAGGCAGGGGTATCTGAGGAATATCTGTTCCAAGCAATAATAATTAACTACTAAACCCCAATCGTTGGCATACTGAAAATGCAAAATGCTACCAAAGAAAATGGATTAAAATATTGACTAATCTAGGCTACAAATGAATCTTAAGACAAGCACTGAGTGTATTCAAAAGTTTCCATCTTCCATCACACAGTATGCAATTTTTTATTTCTATCAAAGCTGCATGTCTTTTGAGATAATCAAATTTTATGGATGTGAGGAATTTAACTTTTTAGTTTTTGACTTTCTGTTAAGTAGATTATATAATTATGCAATTAGTTGTACAATTAATGAGGGAGCTTCGGAGGTTCTTCAAAATGAAAATCAGTAATTCAGTGATAATATTAAAAAACTCTTAATGCAATTTAGCATATAATTATTATTGCTAAATATAATTATAACTGTTCTGAATGAATCTGTTCAGTTTGAAATGGATATATCTGCAGGTGCCATTTAATGAAATTAGCGGTCAAACGTTGGTAATGAATGTTTTTGATTTTGATCGATTCGGCAAGCATGATCAGGTAAGACTTATCCCTTCAAAATTTCAATTTTCATATATTTCTTAATTGAATTATTATTGCTTTCTTTAATATTTTTAAAATGTATGAATAAAACTTGATAGTAAAAAAACGGCTTCAATGAACTTGCTAATATTCCTAAGTGCTTAGAATGTTCAAAGTAATTTGTAATATTAGTTGTTGACTTCAAGTTGCAATTTATTTTGCTCACAAATTTGTTCATCAGTACTCAATTTTGTTTAAGCTTACTGTATAAATAGAAATTTTATAAATATGAAGAAATTATAAACAATCAGTTCACATTTTTTGATTTACATTATTAACAGTGTTTGTCACAAAAAAGCAAAATAACTTCAAATTTAGAGAAGTGAATAAAAAATTTCGAGTTAAAATGACAAATATGGAAATTTTGAATGGCTAGCTTTAAAGACCTCAGTCTGCAGTTTGTATGATCACAGTAATCACCCATATTGCATCTTTACAAGTATAGTAATCATTCAAGATTGGTCAAATCTCAATACCTCTGGGAAAAGTTGACTTGGCTACTACTATTGAAAGATGTGATCTAATCAAGTCTCCACCGGTAATTATTTCATTTCCGCTGATCAAAAAACTTGGCAACTCTTATAATACATAAATCACCATATTTGGAATAAAATGCAACTATTTGAGCAGTTTTTATCTACTTTATCTATCACATTTACTCAAAGCAATAAAGAATTTCGCACAAAATTTTGTAAAAAAATTTTTATTTTGAATATTTTACCGCCAAATTTATACTATTAGTACAATACTAATAATATAAATTTTATGTAAAAAAATAGTGCAAAAGTGACGCATTAAAATTCTTAGTTTATAAATTTTAGTGAACAGTAAACGAAATCATTTTGATGGCAATTCTGTACTTTATGTAAGCGAATAAATCACTGAATATTTTAGCAGTAATTATTTATCGATTTGACTTAATATGAATTTAAATAAGAAATTGCCAAAATTTGTTTCAACTTGCAGCTAAATTGAAGTCAAAATTTGCATAATTGCAGGAGAATAGACTAGGTGAAGTGTGCCTAGCATTACGTTATGTCCCCAATAAAAATAAGCTGACAGTGGTTGTGATGGAATGCAAAAATTTAAAGAAGATGGATGTTCTCGGTTTATCAGGTATGCGCACAATTTCCTTATCAAAGATAAGTTCCTTAATGAGAATTAATAATTGAATTAATTGCGAATTAATTATATTAACAGCTCTTTTCAACAAGTAAGTAATTTTAAGAAGTTGAATAATTTAAATGCGTTGCAAACATTAATATGATTTAAATTGAAGATTTTTTCAGATCCATACGTCAAAATTTATTTAATGTCTCAAAGTAAACGGCTGGAGAAGAAAAAAACCACAATTAAGATGAAAACACTTAATCCATATTACAACGAATCATTTAGTTTTGATGTTAATCCCGAGAAAATGCAGGTATTACAATAAGTGATAATATATCACTCAAAGTTGAATTGTATTGCAATTCTATGCATATAATTTGATTAGTCCATATTTATTTATCTAAAATAATATCAAATAATTTGAAACACAAAGGCAGAAGGAGAATTTAGACTTGGCCAGTTCCTTAGTACATTTAGTTTCTTGTACTACTTGTTTACTTTGTTTTATAATTGTTATTTAAGAATTAAATAAATAAATAACAAATTTGTAGTCTTTATTATTTATTGAAGAAAATGGGCAAATATTGCCAAATACTTTTGTGGAAATATAAACAAATTTGTGGAATTTAATTAAATTTGCGTATGGATAATTTCTCTGAAATATTAATTTGCATCGGTTTTCGAGCTTTCTTTACGATTTCTTAAAGCATTGAATTTAAAATTGAGCGGCATTTGTCAGTAAAATTAATACTAATTTTTTTGAAAAAAATGCATAAAAATTGAAATCTACAGAATATCATAAAATACAGACTTATGCGGAAGTGAGTACAAGTGGTTCAAATTATATGAAATATAATATAAACATCGGTGCTGAAATTGATAAGCAATTTAAAAAAGATAACATTAATGGCAGAGGCAACAAGAATAGCAAATTGTTGCTATATTCTATGTTTCAGCGTGTGCATTTAGAAGTAACGGTTTCCGATTACGATCGGGTCGGGTCAAATGAACGAATAGGTCACGTGATTATAGGCAGCAATGCGAATGGAGTTGCACTGAAACAGTGGCAAGATATGCTCGCAACACCTCGTCGATCAGTGGCACAGTGGCATACCCTTATGCCATTTCATGATGATTAGTATGATGACTGATCTGATCGTAATCACCTTTTTTAATCACTATCATATCAGACTTTCTTTGATTCACTGCTCTCATTCTATCTAAATATATATCAAATGAGATTTTGCATTTTGAACAATACTGAACAGTCAATCATAAACAGTCTAACTAATTATGCATGTACTCTTTGCTCTAAGTATAATTTAAAATGCAAATTATCATTTGATATAAAATGAAAAAATGAATAGAAAATATTTTTTTGATTGGTTATATAATTTTAAAATAGTTATTATTGTTTTTCTGTGGAAAAGGACAAAGCTAATTATCCAAAACATGAATATAAATCATTTCTTAGTTTTGAATTTTTAGTAGAGTTTGATAACTTTTAAATTCCAAAACTATCTCATCATTTCTAATAATAGCAATGAAAAAACTTTCATTCCCCAAAACATATTTCATATCAGAAATTAATTGTACAAACTCATTAATTCAAAATTAAGATTTCTTGCCTGCTTTTGTATCTCACGAATTTCACTGAATTTGTAACAATTGTGGACATTTTGAGCATTATTGAAATATTTGTGTTTCCGATCCAATTTGTTGTCTACATGATTTGAATCATGTTGTGATTCTTTTTAAAAGATCATTTCTGCTTTAAGCAACAAACTATGTTGATCTCACCACATATTCGGAGATAATTTAATATCAAAGTTTTGCATATTTAACCTGCGATAAAAAACCCTTCTCGATAAAAGAACCTTTCCATTTTCTCAATGCATTTTCGAACGATTTCTTAATTACTTAGCTTCACAAATATTATTATAGTGAAAAGTACTTATAAAATAAATATTTGAATAATTAAAAATTTACGCAAATCCTTAGCACTCATAAAAGATTTACATGAAGCCAAGACAGATACCTTCCATTGAGATTTTTCTCTAAATTTTTTAGGAATTATCTTAAAAATTATTCTGAACATAATTTTAGATATGGCAAAACAAAACTTCAATTGTTTAGTGTATCCTGCTGACAAAATTGTTGCTTTACTTTAATTCATTTCATGTATAGATCATTAATTACTACGATTCTGAAAACCATAATTGAATTATTTCTGACCTTTGCCCATTATTATTCATTACACTGACGTCAATGTGCGAGTGACCAAATTTGAAAATCAGTGAATAGTCGAAGTATTTGGTCACAGCTTTATTTGTTTCGAAAGAGTTGCAAATGAGTAATTTAAAAAATGATAATGTGATAGATAATCATATTATTAGTTCCAGCATTTTTTATGCAATTATTTGAGTGCTACAAAAGATTCTAAAGCTCTTTAGTTAACTGAAAGTGCAAATCATTTCAAAGTTTCAACTTAATTTACTTTCTGCAATATCACGAAATTTGACTTAACTTTTGACCGCAGCAACAAGTAACTGAGACCACAATCATCCAAGTTGAAAAACATCAGTAACTGTTCAAAGAGATTTCAATAATTTAGCCAAATTACTTGCAGGAATGAAAGGTCCAAAAATACTGCAAATATTACTTCTGCAGCTATTACTTGAAATTATATCTAACGTCAGAACGCTTACATATACCTTACGTAGAGCAAATATTTTAGAAGAAAGCAAATATTGGCTGAACTATAGTACTCCTTGTATCAATGATAGAATTTATTTCGATTCTAAACAAATCTCCACGGCTATGATTTCTAAAGGATTGCAAGCAAGTCAAATTGATTTACCTGAAAATGGTATTGTATTTTTTGCTGATAACATGGAATTAGGCAAGGCAGATAAGTGGCAGTGCGCAGAAAGTAATATTGAAGCTAACAAAGGTTCAGATTCATAGAATTAATAGTTACGCAGAAGCCCGATAAAATTTAGCTAAAACGAGTTAATACGATCAAATGTGGTGAAATTGCTGCTTTCTATTTTACAGAAAGATAATTTCATTGATCCCAGCAGATATAATACAAATATTTATCTTTTAATAATTCCATGCTCGTTTGTTGTAATAAACTTTGTTTACTTTAATTTTGCAATTCGCAAATATTGCATTACACAATTGTGTACTGCAATTCATGGATTGAGCGAGAGAGTTGCTGTCACAAAATTTTAGAAGTATATTTCCAAGAAAGTCCACTGATGGCTTATCATAATGGATCCAACTGGGTAATATCAAGGGATGGAGCTGAATGGCAGTCAGCACTGCACGCCCTTCAAGTGCCATCATCTGAGGCATAATTTTCTCGACCTATGCCTTTTATTATTAATGCAAATTTTTCTACAAAATTTATGCTATTCTGGCACTACTAGTAAAAATTTTCGCATAAATTAATTTATATTCAGTCTAAAATGAATAATCTTTACCTAATAATGAAGTAAGTTGGCATCAGATTATTCAAGGATATCGCGGTGATTCCGGCTAACGGCGCTAATCGAGTCTTACTTGAGGATTCTATCACAATTGGATCACTAATTATTGGTGGTAGAGTGAGTATTGCTTTCCAAATTTAACTTATTTTTGTTTTTGAATGAGTAATTATTACTTTGTAATTCTCGCTTTTGCTTTGCAATCTCATTTCAATATGCTAAACTTTGACCTTTTCTTTTTTCAAATTCATAATTTGCTCTTCCTGGATGCGAATTTGTGTTTGAGAAATGAAGATTTTTTAATATTTTGTTTTTTTCGCATTTTAAATTTATTTAAAAAGACTGAACTATTTCTCGCAAGCAATTTCAAATCCAAAATTTTTTATATAAAACTAGTTCTTTTAGATTACAATAAACGTTTGTTAATCACGCGTAAAGCCTTTTTTAAATTAAAAAAATTTATGAAAAGTTATTTGATAATTTAGCACTGCAGAATTTTTAATTTTTCAAATTTTGGTTTGGTCTTCCAAAAAACGTTTGGAATTTGGAAGTAATTTACTTTAAATAAATGTTTTTTGAAATCGTTTGATGCAAATTGAAAAGTAAAGACTATCGTTTTCTGAAAGCAAAAAAATATCGCTAATAGTTTATTAAAAATTTAATTTTAGAAGTTGTCCTCTCAAAATGAAATGCGGAACTTTTTAATAATTCAATTTTTTTACTTTTTGCATAAGTAATTCTAAAGTAACATTTTCTACCTTTCTATCAAACTAAATATCTGCTTTGCACATGAAAAAAATGTTGAATTATTAAAAATAAAATAAAAAAGCATTTACATCTCATTCTTTTCAACCTATGCAAGTATTTATAAGCTTATGTTGTGAGTTTTATACTACGTATTTTTTGCATTGAAAAATTTAAGGCTTGAAATTTTAGGTAATAAATTATTAGGCTAATATTACTTATTTATTTTTTTAAACTTGGAATTGCTGCGAGAATAGAGCAGGTTGTGATGTGAGTTTTTTAAAGTTTTAATATGATTAGGCCAGGAAAGTTTTATAAGTACTGCCACTGCAAATTATATATAAAAGCAAGCTTATTTTAAAAATTCAGTGAAATTTTTTGTAAATTTTGTTGCTCATTTAAATTTTAAAATTAATTTTTTAACAAGCTTCTGAACTCTTATGCACACGACATATTTTCAGACTTTTGGGTCAACTATGCCCTCAAAATTTGTTCAAGCTTTAAATGAATTTACTGTCTAAAATATTAAATTAAGTTTGCAGTGCCATCACTCCACAGATATTAGTCGGCTATTATTTGACATACAAATTATAATCTCAGCTTTCATAACATTTTCAGAATTTAGTCTTAGACGGATAACATAAGTCACAAAGACAGTCAAAGCTGAAGAAATAAATAAATAAATGCACATCCACGAACTAAGAAACTAATACTGTACGGGGTTAAAGGTAGCTACTGGTAATTAAATTAAAAACTAAATTTATTATGATAAAATATGATACATGATTGAAAAAAATACTTCCGTAATATTATTTATTATCTTTCATATCAATAAGCTACTGCTTCTGTTAATTACTGTTCTAATAATTTGAAGAAAAGACTGACTAATGGCGCTTTTATTATGATTTAATTGGTTTCAGGCTATCAGTGGTGATAACTTTGATGAGTGGTTGCTTCGCTCAGTCGAAGGCCAAATGCAATTTGAATTAGCCCCGAAATTGATGTCATTGATAAGCATCGAAAACAAAAAATATCACTGGCCGAGATTCACAAATACCGTAACCGTTTTAGGAGAAAGCTCAAAAACCGCTACAGGACGATTCAATACTAATTTGAAACCTAACGTAAATCTTCATTAATTTCATCAACTTGAAAGTTCAAATAAAGTAAGAGTGATTACTCGGATTGTAATTAAATACTCGCCCAACATTAAAATCAAGCATATTTCACTAAAAGCCTTTCAAAATTGAAACAAACAAAACTTATGAAGTCTGTTTGTGATAAAAACATCATTTTTACATTTAGTGAAACTATTTTTTCACGATCATTGGGAAAGATTTTATTCATATTTGAAGCATTTTATGTGTATACAGAAGCAACATTCACCTTTAATTGACTAAATAGAGAAAGTTCTTCATAGTTATTAAATCATACGAAATTGGAAAGGAAAGTGTTCAGAATATGAATTTTCAACCAAAAATTCGATTAGATAGTTATAATACGCAGTTCGTCATGTACTGTAAATAAATTTAGGCAGTGTACTGTACAAAGCTTTCATACATTTCGACTTTTTCATTCTCCGTGTAATTTTGACGTATGCATTGCATTTGGATTTCACTTTCTAATTTAAACAATTAAAAATTTACAAAAAAAAAAATGAGAAATTGAAGGTAGATTCAGACTTTTCGTTTTTACCATAAAACAAAAAATCTGAAGATGGGATTGATTGATTGATTGATAATTTCTTTTTAATGAATTAGTACAGTTATTATTCAGAAACTGTCACTGATCTGTTCCTATCAGCAATGTCAGTTAAACGCCTTGCAACACTGTGAACAAGCGTTCCAACCAACTGGGCATTGTTGCAAAATTTGTGGTAATATGCTGAATTTATTTCAAAAATAGCATTAAAGAACTATTATTATCATTATTAATATTTGGAGGATTTTCATCTTAAAAAATACAAAGCTTGATGTATTATTGAAATAAAAGCACTTAAACACTGAATCTTCTGAAGATTAAGTTAAAAAGTTCAATTCTTCATTGCAACTATTTTATTTTTGTAATTCATTTATTAATTTTAATTTTTTTTAATGACTTTATTTTCTGCATAATAGCAAATGAATCCACAGTTCAATATATGCAATTTCTGAGGTCAATTTTTTTAATCTATTTGGGATTGTTTTGTTTCGATCACTTTGAGTCGAATTGGTGATATCTGTACGAGCTTAATTTGAAAATTTTCGCAGTTGAAAAAATATTCACCATGTTAAAAAGCTGATATGAAAGTGATTCCACAATTATTCTCAAAATGCAAACATAAAAACACAAAATTACAGAAGTATATGCATTTTATACTTAACAAAGTCAATTGCTGTATTTTTTCCAGCAATTTTTAATTATTTTTCAGGTTCAATGATTCATTTTCGAGCAACTTCTTTCAAATTTGACAAATTTCAACAACGAATACAAAAATACAAGCAAGAAAGTGAAACTGTAAGGCAATACGGTTTAGATATTGCACTCTTACGCATTGACTATAATGATTTTGTACCGAAATATCAGGTCAATTTTATTGCAGTTTAGATTTTTAAATTTAATAACTTTGGTTAATATGAATTCAATTTAGTTACAAATTAGTCTTTGGAATTTAATAAAAACTGAAGAAGAAAAATTCAGTAAAAGAATAAAATACAAATAATTTAAAAAAGAAGAAAAAGTTTAAAAGCTAAATAAAGATAGATTGCTGAAGCGAAGTTGCTTTACTAATCTTTACGGATTTATTTTCAGCATTTAAGCAATCTTTGTAGCAAATTTTTCAGTGCTCACATATTTTTTACTATTTGATATTTTTTGTGCGCTTTTTGAAAAGCAATTCATAATTGATATTAATATAAAATTTAATATTTATGAAATATTAAAAATTAAAAGTAATAAAACTTTGCTTAAGTTGAAGGTAAAAGGCAAAATTTTGAGAACATTAAACTCATTAATATTCAATCTTCATTATATTTTCATTGGCTTGAAGCGAATGAATGAAGTTTTTGCTTCAAAATTGTAATTTAAAAATATATAAAAGTTTTAATAACTTAATTACTTTAGCAAAATGATTGTAATAAATTCTCGCTTATCACCATTTCCATTCATAGATTGAGAAAGTATGATATTTTGTTAGTCATCATATTAATGTTGGCTTTCAGTAAAACTTTACTGTTAAGATTGTTATCCTCACACGTGATGCAATAAAGTATCCATACAATGCTCATGCATACGATCACGTAATGAAAGACTTGATCAAGTTAATTGAAAGTGATTTAGGTAAAACTGTTCAAGTTTTGTCTCTACATAGTATATATACGAGAGTTTCAGAGTTAATATTGTTACATACACATATAAATACTAGCAAAGTGACTAAAAAATTATCTGTAAATGAGAAATGTGTTAAATTCTTATTCTAATTTCTATTCCGTCGACAAATTGGCTTCAAATTTGGTTAAAAGGTTCGCTTTTCATCTAGCATAAATGATTATCTTAGACTCAATAAAGTATTGTCGAGTACGACAAGTTTAAGAGCGAATTGCTGCAGTCAGTATCTAATTTCAGGATTTACTTATTCTTCGCCAATGTTTGAAATAGAAGAAATAACTTCTAAAGAAGTTTACGCAATCAACAGAAGTATATTTTTCTTTTCGCCTATTTTCCTAAGACTAAAATTAATCTAATCCTTTTAATAACAGAAACCTCTTTGTTTGCTCCAGCTGAATATCATTAGTTTCGCATTTCACATTGCTTTTTTATAAGCATTTTCTAAGATTCGTATTTCAGGTGATGTCATAACAATTATGTTATCAATGATAGTTATAGCATCAATCGTTATTGGGATTATTTTAGCAGTGAGACAAGACTTGAAGTAATTTCTTCTCACAATAATTCTGAAATTAGTTTAGTCTAAACGAAAACTAATTTGACAAATTTAATTTCAAAATTACAATATTCTAAAATTGATATTAAAAATGCATAAATTTTTCAAATACATTTTTTTCTGATTAAAATTAACTTAATGAAAATTGAATTTTTGCTCATCAAATAGAAAATATTTTAGATTCAAAGAACTGTCTAATTCGAATGCGTTTTATGCAGCCATAGTACGTTGGAGAAGAGAAAGGGTTGAAGATGAAGTTGAACTCTTACACAGCGATGTATCTAATTTGAATATCTGCTCTAGTAATACTGCGGTAACCAAACAATAATTTAGTTCAATTATGATTATCTGACATATTCAAAAACTTCTGTCATCTTGGATAAATGCTTTCAGAGTCATGAAGAGCGGGAAGCCGAAAATAACTTAACTTTTGAAAACATTGCATATGAAGGAAAATAGATCATAACTGTGCGTTAACTTTTTTATATATTGTATATGAATGAAATCTTGTATTTAGTATCTTATCACATTATATTTTGGTATAGCTGTTTTAGAACTACATTATTTATTCAGTCATTTTAGTAGTAAATAAGTTAAATTTATAACGGATCATGTTTTCAACAAAATATTTAAATTGTTTTATTCTAAAATTGCTAACAAAACTATAAGAATTACACCAGAGCGAATCTTAACTTATATATTACTTATTTTATTGTAATAGTGCATATTAATATCAATATTATGAATCTCTTCAGTTTTCAGGTCCATTCGAGTTGAATCTTACTTCTGAAACACCGTGATGACAATACACCTATGTAATATGAAATAACAAATCTTCATTTTTCGTATTTTTTATT